TCTCTCTCTCTCTCTCTCTCTCTCTCTCTCTCTCTCTCTCTCTCTCTGTATTTTGGACATCTTGATAAGATACATTATGAACAGTTTCTTCTCTGTTCACACCTTGGTATTCTATATTCATCTTGTTTAGATGTCCATTTCTCTAGAGTTGTGAAATTTTCTGCTATAACTTCACAGACTAGATTGTCTATGTGCTCCCCCTTTTAAACCGTGTGTACTCTCTTGAACATGGACCAGAGTTCTTGGAAGTTTTGGTCATATTCATTCATTTACTTTCCTTCATGTATGCCTGACCTCATTCTCCAGACTTGGTAAGCTCTCTTCTCCTCATCCTTGTTTGCCGATGACTCTTATTTCCAATGTTTCTTTTTGTTTTTCCTTTTTCTTTAAAATCTGAATTCCTCGGTGTTTCTGAAGACTTCCTCCATACCACTGACCATCATGACCTTGGCTTTCTCATGTAGTCCTAAGCTGACTTCCTTTCTCCACTTATCTACCAGATGAGGCCTCTATGGTTAACAGCAAGAGTCAAGTCTTCTGCTATTTCAGCTACCCAGACCTTATTTCTGTCTTTGAGTTCTGAGCTTGCAACGGTATTAGAGTGGCTTGATTTCCCGTATGATTTCTGTTTCCTTGATTTTTTTTTGTACATTTATTGGGGTCTTTATGAACTCCAAGTTTTAATTTGTCCCTTTTCGCTTTTTTTTTGTTTGATGTAATTTATGGGAGTCTTTTGATCTAATGGCTTCTGCTTGGTTCTCTCTCATTACAATTTTTTGGGGAAGGAAATTACATATACAAACATGGTGATTTATGGCAATCTTGGTATACATACAGAATAAAAACTAAAAACAAAACTAAAAACAAACAAACAAACAAACAAACACTGTGTTCCCAATAAAGTTCAGAGACAGATACTAGGATACTTTAAGAAAAAGATGTAGTTTACAGTGTTTTAGAGCTGCAGGAATTTATAGTTAAGAAGTGAAAGGGGCTGGGTGGTGGTGATGTGAGCCTTTAATGACAGCACTTGGGAGGTAGAGGCAGGTGGATCTCTGTAAGTTTGAGACTAGCTTGGTCTACAGAGTGAGTTCTAGAACAGCCAAGGCTACATAGAAAAGCCCTGTCTTGAAAAACAAACAAACAAGGATCCCCCCAAAAACAGAGAGGGAGGAAGAGGAGAAAGAGAAGAGGAGGAGGAGGAAGAAGAGGAGGAAGAAGAGAAAGAGGAGGAAGGGAAGGAGGAAGAGAAAGAGGAGGAGGAGGAAGAGGAGGAGGAGGAGGAGGGAAGATGTGCAGGAAGTGATGTGAGCCATGATAAAGCACCAGTATGTGGGTTAGAAGTGTGAGGACTAATGGAGAAAAATACAAAAGAAGAGGCTCAGGAAAGGAAAAGAGATGTAAAAGCCTGTTTAGGAAAGATTCAGACTGAAAGTACCTGTGTAATAGAGATGCAAAAAATGTGATTAAAAATAACAAAGAAAAATGAAATGAAATAGGAAATAGTATATCAGTAGCTTGTACTTCCTAGGTGGGATAACATGGCTATACCCCTCCCCCATTTTTTGAGAGTTTTTTCTTGTAGCTGTGTCTACAGGTGGGGAGTGAGGTGCTAGTTTCAGTGATCCAAACAAGTTGGATGTGCTCCCTTGCTGAGGGGCTTCTGTCTTGGACACAGCTTTCTGCTAGAATGTCCTAATAGGAGACTGCAAGCCATCTAATCCCACCTCTTTGTGGTGTGCTTGGGGAGCCTACTTTCCAATCAGGCATTTAGTGTTTAGGAGGGACCTGGCAGGCTTGTGTTTACCTCCACTGCTGGACCTTCTCTTCCTTTGGGGATCCTGACCTCTTCCCTGATCAATGACCCATAATGCCTAAGAATACATTCATCGGTTGGACAGAACTGGGCCTGTTTCCTCAGTTTCTGTGTTCTCATGCTGTTGCTCATCTAGGCCTTCCAGACATTCTTCAGGACAGCCACCTATGGTGCTTGTGGAAGACTGCAACTTTAGGCTCCCACCGGTGACTCAAAGTGGTTCTATAAGTGTGTGTGCTGTCTGGTGGCTGCTTCCGGCTGCTTCCCATCGGAGGATTCTGGGGATCTCATTGGCTCTTGTTTCTTTCTGTACATTGCCTTTCTTTTCTTTTGCTCACACTCTCCAGCTGCCCTACCACTCCCTCTGTGTGTTTCTGACATTCCTCTCTTCTTTCTCTTTCAGAATTAGACAGACTGTTCTTCACCAGGCCTCACAGACGCAGCTTTTAATTTGCCATTTTCTACAAATTTATATTGCATTCTATAAGAGAACCAGTGAAGCCTTAGTCCTGTATTTCATTTTAATAGTTTTTTTCTTTTTTAAATGAGATACTTTATATTGGATAAATTCTGTTTTAAACTGCATCATTCAGCATGTCTGTGTGGCCTCTAATTTTAAATATTGGTTTCTTGTAACTGTTGCTATTTCTCTTTAATGATCTGTCTGGGTTACAGATCTTTGCCATCTTTTCTAGAGCAGGGTTCTCTTCTCAGGCTTGCTTACATCATGGCCTTCTGCAAGTTGCTAACCCCTCCTGGCACTGATGTCTCATCTCTAGAAGTGAGATATTGTTACTGCCCTTATTGAATTATGTGAAAATGAAGGATAGCAGTGTAGTCATATATTCTGCCATTTCGAACAGGTTCTCCCTCCCTTCCTCTCTCTATCAGCCACTCTAATGATGATCAAATCAGGAAGCTCTGGTTTTTACCCCACTCTCTCTGAGGAGGTTCAATCAGTTGAAGTTGATGCTGGCTGCTACCCTAGCTGGTTGCCTAGCAACCCTACCCTGGTTGCAACAACTCTGAAAAAGGCTCACATCAACAAGGTTTCAACGATTGCAGGCTAACATAAGCATTATCTAAAGCTGAAGGGACAGCACACTGCCAGAGCGTTCTACTAACCCCTTTGTGTTGATGATTCCTTTTCCAAGAATGACACGTGATCCAATTAGAGAACAGGGGTTTCATGAAAACAAAAGCTTTCCCAAGACAGTGCGTCCTTTAGCCATCGCTGTTGGGGGAGCCAGGTTATTAATTTGCTCTCCTGTAAGTAATTCAGCACTCATGAGGAGTTAAGGAAGGTGCTTGAGATTCTATAAAGTAATGCCCCATTAGAAGACCTCAGAGAGACACTGGCCATCTGAGGCAAAGCCATGAGGAATAACTTACTTTAATAGACTTGGCAATGGACAAGAAGTGCTTTGGCCACATGCAAATTATGCTAGCCTGCCCTGGGGCTCATTTATCCTCCCTCTCTCTTCCTCTCTCTCCCTCTCTCCCTCTTCGTCTCTGCCTCTCTGTTCTACCCCCTGTGATTTTTTAAAAAGTCCTTTTAGCCTTTCTCAGACACCCCAAATCCCTGGAATAGTTCCAGAGGGGACTTCATTGCAGCACATTTGTCTTCTGCTGCGATGCTCTTCGGAGATGCTTCCAACAGTGCTTTACAGAACACATGGCACATGGCAGGTGTCGGCAGATATGGCTGGCAGCTCAGTGTGTGGCTTTCTAGGGGACGTGGATTTCACCCCATACAGAGCTCTTTGTCACAGGTAAGGAAACTGAGGCCAAATAAAGGACTGCATAATTTGCAAGGTCTGAAGACTCTCCTGGCCGAATTGGGACAAGAACACAGACAAGAATTCAGAAAAGAGTGGAAGGGATATATTTTGGTGGTTAATATTTAGAAAATGGCAAATTTATCAAGAAGCACTCTAAAGTTTTAGATGCTCAGAAAAAATATTCCTAACCTAATCATTTAGAAACCACTTCAGGACGACAATAAATGTAATTTTCAAGAAATATTTACCTAAAGAGGAAGTGTAAACTATAACAGTAGAGTTAACATCTAGTGTCTACACAGAAAGATAACCTCCTTTCTCAGTGCTTCACATCTTTGGCTTACAACATTTCAGGGGTCCACGGTGACCCAATGTCAAGGATGGATGCCCCTCAGCTTACGATTTAAGGTTCTTTCTGTTTCACCTTATCCACTTTCCATCCTGACCTCCTATGACCACATTTACCAGGAGCTTGCAGGTATATGACGTATGACATCTCTGGCCACTTGCCCTGTCCTGATGCCTGCTGGGTTTCCCACCTCTCTGCTTTTGCTTTTATTATTCCACTTGTGTGAAAGGCATTCCCTCATCCTTTAAAAGGCTAGACTCAATGTCCTCCTGACAGGAAGCATCAGGCCCAATGTGGACTTTCTTACCTTCAACTTTCTCTGAAATTCCGTGTTAATTGCTCATGAGGAACTCATCATTATCGGTTTATACCAGTCAGAAGAGCAGTCACAGCTGACACTTCTTAAATTTGCAGGAGCCCAGGAGGCACTTTACACGGTGCCTTTAGATGTAGGAAAGACTTTTTAATTTGTGTAATACTTTAAGGATTGAATTATATATTCTTGGATGGAAGGACACAAGAAAATGCTAACTGTCCTATGATAAGATTTATGTTTAATTAAAGTGAAATTAAAGGCTTGAAGATGAAACTAATGAATTGTGTTCACCTTTTCACACATAGCTGTGATTTTTCTGGATGGTTCTTTTTCATGTATGCTGGATGAAGGATTCTGCTGGATTCCATTCTGATGGAATGGAATGGAATCTCAGGGCAGCAGGCCTTCCTAGACCTGCATCTTCACCTCCTTACAGCCAGCGGTGGCTGCTTGCTGCTGCTCTCCTATCACTGAGCTAGGACAGAGAGTCCATGTTCCTGACTGGTGGACTTCATGTATGTTACTTATTCAGCTCGAAAATGCATATAAAATCTTGTGTCAGGGCCAGCTTCAAAATGAACACTCAGTATGGTTAAATAAGAACCAGGTGAATGTGTCATACTACTAATCCTCTCTGGGGTCTATGGGGGTATGTGGGAAATCCACTTTCTTGGGCAGGGTCACTTAGCTACATCAAAGCAAGCCCATGGTTGTTTTGTCATTGGTTTCTTCCTGGCAGTGACATAGTCTGAGGTTCCTGCACATTCTATTTGTTTTACAGTTCTGCCTGCCCAGTCTTGGGATCTTAAATAAGAGCTTTGGAGTGTCATCTTGGGGTTGGGTTAGGGCGAATCTGCCTTTATAGGTATGATGTTATTCTCTTGGGTCACATCATACAGTCAGCTCTGGGTGTAACTGGGTGTTTCTATCCTCTACACATGTAATAACCACATTTTCTGCCTCTCTGCTTGGAAGTAACATATTACATATGAGGCAGTGAAAAAGTACATGATGAAAGAGCTGAACAGGTGATGAAAAATCTCTACTTTTTAAAGGCATAAATCTAAGAAGTATTTATGATGAACAGTGGTAGTTGACCCAGAAGTGGGGAAAAGGCCAGAAAACCAAACAAATGAGCACATGCTATCAGAAGAGCACTTGGGGTACTGTTTAAACATCAACATCAGTGACTTAGACTAAAGCTCAGAAAGGCAAACTCTGAGGTACATACGTAGAGTCAGTGTCTTTTTCTTTCTTCCGTATTCCAAAGGCCTTCCTTGTACGTTTTTTCAATCCTGTGGAGAAAACAGCAAATGGTCAGAAAACAATTAGCAGTCCAGGTGAATGTACCAGGGAAGGTGCAGCCAGACCTGGTGAGGGCTACAGTGTACTCTGCTCCAGAGCCCCAGAGGTTGGGACATTTCAAATCCAGGGACCCTTCTTTGCTGCAGAGTGAATTTAAGATCAGTTTGGGCAACTATGATTTCTTGTCTCAAAGATTAAAAACAAAAAGGTAAAGAAAAATAAGGACTAGGGGTATTAGGGACATGGCTCAGTGGTTGGGTACCTGCCTGGCACAGACCTGGCCCTAGGGGTTCAATCCCCAGTACTAAAAAGAATAATGAAAACTGCTACATAGCTGTTAACTTTGCATAGAGCAGTGTCAGCACATTCATATGCATGTGAATGTGGGAGTGTGATTCATTATTGAAGTTTCAACAGGTGTTTGTGAGCTCTCGGGATGGGAGGTTCTTAGACTCATAAGCAACAGAAGGATGCTGTGCAGAAGGATGCTGTGCCTCCGAGAGATCACAGGCTTTTCTTAGATTACTGTCATCCATCAGTAAGATCAAGACTTTGCCAAGAAACGGAGTCACAGACTTAGAATAGCCACTTCCAGAGTGGGTCCTAAAATGCAGAGCATATGAGCCATGCAAGAAGATCTATGAACACTCTGCTCCCCATCTCTCACTCTGTATTCCTCTCTTATCTTTAGCATCATGGCCAGGCTTGGATATTAACTATTTTCTGGACACACCCAACACTGCTGCTCCAGCATCTCTTCTGCAGCATCCTTATCTCTGGTTGAAACTCACTGCTTATTTTGTCAGAGATCAGAATTGCAATTCATCCTTGGAGGTCAGGCCCCAACGTTGCATGCCAATAGGACCTTACCAATGCTCTTGTATGAATTGATACATGAGTGGTGCCACTCATCAGCAATTTCAGATTCTCTGATGACTTTGAGCCTCCACCTCCCAGCCTAGAGGCCAGGCTGTCTGGTTTGCATGTATGCCCACCCTACCCCATCTGACTGCCCAACTTTTAGGGTGGAAGAAGTCTCCCTTCTTCCATCCTTGTGAATGGACTCCAGTTTGGGCTTCCATTCTTAATCTAACAAGGATTGAGCCTTCTCATCTCCTGTGTGCTCCATAGGTGCACATGCAGTTGACCTTTCTTATGTCAGCAAGTACTATTTTATGATAGCAAGTGGCTGCTCCATCAGAATCTTGGGGAAAGCTATATTGGGAGATATGAACTTTTAAAAGACAAACCTGATATGGCTGGGCATGGTGACTTAGCTCTATAATCTCGGCATTTGGGAGACTGAGACAGGGGGATTGCTGAAACTTTAAAGCCAGTCTGAACTACAGAGTAAGACTTTTTACTCAAAAATAATAATAATAAAAAGGTCACTATTGCTGTAGGATTTGTTTGGTATGAAGCACAACCAGAAAACAGACTGAATCAGGCATTTGATAGCTTTCTCAAGACCTGTGAGTCAGCCAAGACTGAGTCACCCATTAGCTGTCTCTAAGGATACTACTCAAATATAGTTTCCAAATGTCTCTGCGCAACTTGATTTTTGCATTTAATAGTCATTCTATTTAAGATGTTTAGGTCTTTAAAATGTCAATGCTCTTTTTAAAACTATTTCCCACACAAAGCTATTCTCTATTACTCTTCACATGATGAGTTTATAGGTGAGCTGACTGACATTTCAAAGGATTCATAATATTTGGGAACGCTTGCCCCCACCCCATTCCATTTGCAACTCTCTTTGTTAAAATATCTCTTCCATCTCTATTCTGTCTTATTCCCCCATAAGGACAAATGCTGTGGTTACATAATTATTGGTATTCTTCTACCTATTTACTCCAGGTTTCTGCTATTTGCTGCTTCCAATTTAGCTGTAGGTCCACGATGATTGCTGTGCTCCTGAATCACTAATGATGACTTTAAGACCACACAACAAAACCATTGGTAATTTGTATTTTCAAGTTCTTTATATTGGTAACTCTCCCTGTAAGAGACAGCATGTCCTCCAGAACAATGCAAGAAGGACCGCAGCTTTCAGATTCCAGGTAATGCTGTATTTGCAACAAGACTGTCAAGCCTTGGATCAACAAATTTGGGCAACAGCCAATGTGAACTAGGTCATGAATGTCCCAGTTATCTATTTTCCAGGAAAAAAGTGCATCAGACGGAATGTCAGGGGACACAGAGTCTGTATAGCTACACTTCTGGCTGTAGAGTTCGATGCTACCTCTGTTCTCTTTGGGTTTCAGTCTTTAGTTTAGACCAAAGCAAAGAACAATAAGAGGCAAAGGAATCACACATTCTCATAAAATCCTCTGGCAGTCTGGAGCTTTAGTGACACTGAAAGTCATTTTTCTAACATAAAATACATGTTCACAAAGAATAAAAAAAAGGAACAAACAAATATGTTATATATCAGGAAAAAAGTCAAATTGCTAATTAAGTGTTAATAAAATTGTCTCCCTCCTTGATAAGTGCAATGAGACTTGAGGAGATGAGTAATGTGTATGGAAAACTTTGATTAAAGCAACAAAACATAAGGTGTAAGCTATTTGTATTTTACCGGATCATTTAAAGATCTGAGCAGAAACAATCATAACATCTCTGCTAAACATGAAGTACAGTCAGTCATGTCTTTTGAGAACTTTCCAAAAACTATTTTGGAAAAGTCTCATAGGAGTCAGTTAGATGGGTCAGCAGGTAGATGCATTTGCCTGTCACTCCAAGTTCCATCCCCAGAACCCATGTTAAGATATAATAAAACTGACTGAAACTACCACACCCCAGACCCCTCAATCATAGAAAGGAGAAAAGATTATCAAGGATAGTATCAGAATAATAAGGTAAAGACATTTTGTGGCATACTGTAATAACCCCAAGAAACACTGGGTAAGCAAGATGGCTCAGAGGGTAAAGTAGTTTGCCACTGATCTTAACAACCTGATTGTGATTCCCTGGGATCCACATGCTAGAATGAAAGACTCAGATCCCACAGGCAGTCCTCTGACTCCACACATGTACTTTAGCATGCATGTATCCATACCCATACACATAAAAATGAATAAATAAATATGAAAAGATAAAAAAGAAACTAATGACTTTCCAATTCTGACTTCATAATGCCATGATAGTTTTAAAATCATTTTCTAATTAGGACTGTTTTGAGAGTAGGCATGAATTTTGGTCAACTATTCTTTATTAAGAATAGGAAAGCAGATTCTTGCCAAGCAGCCCCAAAGGCTCTCTGCTTTCCCCCCTCCCCTTTTTTATTTCATTAACAAGACTGAGCCTGTCTTAGGTTGTTCTGACAAGAATGCCTTCCTTACCCATCATAGAATATGCATTATCAAAAGCAGTGCACTTATGTCTTAGGTTGATAAGGCTCTGTGCAGAATCTTACCGATCCTTGGCTTGCCAGTCTATTAATTTAATAACTCTGTCTGGGGGTCCATTTTCAGGTTGATGTTGTTGAAGACAAGGTTTAACACAATGGGCAAGAATAAAAGTATTCCCAGGACAAAAAGGGCTAGCATGATCAAGCTATATATACCATTTTTGAAGCTTAACCAAAATAGAAATACTGACATCATGACATGGGTAATTTTATCTGAAGTATCTACTACATCAACGCTCAGCAGAGCCGCATTCTTGAAATTCAGAAGCTCCTTATGTATCGTTAAGACATCCTGAGAGGTGTTAAGAATTATGCCAGATACACTGCACGTGTCACATGGGCCAAGGACAAGGAAATGAGATTCAGGCAGGAATCTGATATTAGGCTAGAGCAAAGAAGTAATTTCAGATTGGAATCTAAATCTTAGGCTAGAACAAAGAAGTAATCTCAGGCAAGAACCTAAATATTAGGCTAGAACAAAGAAGTAATTTCAGACAGGAATCTAAATTTTAGGCTAGTACAAGGAAGTAGGCATCAGACATGAAAATGACCTTGGGCTAGGACAGGGAAGTAGGTTCAGATACTTTGGTCATCCTGATAAGCCCTTAGAAACAATGATCACAGAAGTGTTCACGTAATTGGGTTTAATGCCTTGTATTTTCTTTGACTATTTGTGTTTATTGTATTGCTTGTTCCTTGACTATTTGCATCTATTGTATTGCTAGACCCTCAACCTAGAACTGATCTTAATACATGCATGTAATCAAAAATGTTATAAAAGCATAAAGGAGGAGGAGGGATGGGATAGGGAGTTCTAGGGAGGGGAAATGGGGAAAGAGCATGACATCTGTATTGTAAATAAATAAAATATCCAAAAAAGAGATAGGAAAGCAGAAGTTGTTTTATTTTAAAGAAATATTCCTCCCCTGGTGCTGAGGTCCACAGCAAGACGATTTCTCTGCTGGGAAGATCCAGGGTGAGAATGGTTCTTTTCAAGCGGTGGAATCAAGGCCACTTTTATGGGCAGCTCCAGAACTGTTGTCTTGGCTGAGTTGTGGTGAGCTGGCTGGTGCCCCTTATCTGACTTAAGTCCTGTTTCTTTCCTCTGGTGTCCCAAGAAAAGCCAGTCAAATTTTGAAAGACAACATTAAAAATGGACTATTAAAAAGATGTTAGAAGCGTATCTCAATTTAGACAATTCTGAGTATGAGTCTCCTGAATAATTAAATTCAGCAATGGATGCAGGAATTGATGGTGCTAATGCAAAATTTCACGGCAACACTTAAGTACTAAGCAGAAACTGTCACTGAGGACTGCACTATAGGCCGGGTACTAGCTGCATATATTATTTCTTTAAAATGTCTTACAAGGGGCTGGGGAGATAGCCACAGTGGCTGCTCTTCCAGAGGTTCTGAATTCAATTCTCAGCAACCACATAGTGGCTCACAACCATCTATAATGAGATTTGATGCCCTTTTCTGGCAGACAGCTGTACATGCAGATAGAGTACTCATGCATAAAATAAGTAAGTAAATCTTTTTTAAAAAAGTCTTACAAGCACTCTTTAAATTGTGTGTGTAT